GCTGCATCGATGGCGTGACACCAGAGATCGATGAAACAACAGCTGTTCAAGGTATTCAAGGTATATTTAGCTTGCATATGTTGTATGCATATACGTATATTGTGCGTAGCACATCCTTCCTTCGCCAACAATGTACTTTGATAGGCAAACAAGAGTGCGATAACGTGTGGGGTGCTACTACACATACCAAACAAGCATTTATTGATAACATTAAACCTCGACCGATTTTTTTTTTGTAGCGGTTTTCACGGCCTCTAAACGATTCATCAGCATACACAGTTTTTTTTTGAATCCTTTGCAAGCTTAGCTACTGAGCGCTCATCATTTCTATCAGTAATAAGGCAAATATGCACGAAGAAGTACACTACATGTTATGACGCAACGACGGAACTTGAAAGAGGGAACGATGAGGAAAGCAAAGACGCTAAGAAGGTTAAGAAAATGGAAAGGTAAAACGTTACGGTCCTCTTAAGTTATGAACGTTTTAACTCAGTACTGCAACTGGACCTCGTCAGCACGACGGTTGTGATAAAAAGTCAGAATGAGATACAGGGCTATGACAGAAATTGAAATGCGAAATGAAATTTTGTGAGTTCGAAATCACTTTAATATCACACAACAAATGACCGAACTGCATGCAATTCGTGGCCTTTGCACAAACACACTACATTCACAGTCTTCATTCATCCTTACAATACAAACATCACGTTTTCCACCTCCCTGCTCGCCGACCATGCATTTTCCAATACCTCAACTTGAGGCTGTTAGAAGTTGTAAAATAAAAGATCTCCTCCCCGATAATTCCTTAAGTGCTGCTCCCCACGTGAGCTAGTAACGGACGTACCTTTATTGACAGGAATAAGTCCATCCTCTCTCCCGGTCACATCCTCTGATCCGACTTGCGTTTCCCTCATCGCTTCCAAGGCTCGTAAGCTGCTACATCGTTCCTCCGGCTCCATCATGCGCTCTGGATCAGCTAACATCGATGTGGAAGCTTCGACTGTTGGATGTTGCTCTTTTCTATCGTAATCGCTGCATGGATCTTGTGCAACTGAGGCTGGCTGTAGCGCTGGGATGATGTCTTTAGAAGTGGTAGCCGAATCGGCGGCTCCGGATGAGGTAGCAGTATTGGTAAACTGTTCATGGAAATTTTCCGTGCCAGATGGATTTGCCGTGCATGGTGCAATCTCTTTTGATGCAACCGGCAAGTTTTCGTTTTCATTCATTTCTCTTCGGATTACGAGAAATTCCGGGGTGAAATCGGAAAACCGGATTTGGAATGGAGCGCGGGTTCCAGGGGTCAGTAGGCGAACAGCAGTACAGAAACAAGGATGAGGCACAATGCCTGTTTAGCACTCCGAACACTGTGCTTTACGGAAGGAGGAGGGCTGGTGCCATACATGTGAATGTTCTCTGTTATGCTTCTAAAATTTATACATGTCAGCACTTTTCCCGAGCCATCCTTTCCCCCCATCCTGTCTTTTGTGCTTCTTTGTTCGTCCGCCGCTACAGTCGTTGTGATGACACACGTAGTTTCTGGACCCTGCGTATCAAATGACACATCACATTGCCACTGAATGGCTCATGCAAAAATACGACATTTAATGAGTTTAGGGTTTATGTTAAAATTTCTTAAAAATTTCCCTCTCATTACATTAAAATTTCCCTAAGTGCTGAGTTAATAATAGCCAGAGAATTGGAAAAGTTTGTTTCGAAGTCCCATTTGGAGTTACATTAATGCAACAAACTTAGAGCGATAGCGAAGAAGGGGTGCGACGATGAAACAACAGCTAACCAAAGTAACAGTATATCTCAGGCCGTTGTCTGATTTTACGGATAAAAACTAAGACTGCAGTATAATAGAAAGTACCTACTTCAGTGCGTGGCTCGAACTCCACGGATGTGATAAAATTAGAACTGGAAAAAGAGGAAAGAGAATGAAGAAAATGCCAGTTGTGTCGATGCCAAGAAGGAACGCGACGATGAAAAAACAGCTGATCAAACTATCAGAATAACTCCATTCTAGCCGCTTTTTTTTGAGCTGATAAAGCTCTTTAGGAAATGAAATGAATGCCAGGATCGCCAGCAGGCTGATCGCCAAGTGATGCAGCAATGGTCAAAATAGTTGAAAAATTGCCTACTGCATAATTTGAAAGACGCATCATGGGCAATAGCTGATCAAAGTCCCGGATATCTCAGCTTTACTTTTTTGCTGATAATTCTCTCAGAAGACGAGAAGAATGTGAGGATTGCCAGCAGGTTGATCAACACATTGTGGTAAAGGTAAGAAATGTATACAACTTAATGGACCGAAACATTTCTTTCCTATTTTAATAATTCTTTACAATCCTTTCATCGTTTTTTCCCCATATTTTCTCTTTAACCCTAAATTAACATTTTTCAATGTTGCCAGTCCCAGAATATGAAATTAAACTGTGAAATGTAGTTGATTAAAGTAGCAAAGTAAAATTAAGGTAGTAAAGGAAATTAGGCAGCGAAATACTAAAGCAAAATTTTGAAGCGACGCAATATCTGAAATAATCTTTTGTATTCCTAAGTTTTTTTCAGAAGCATTTTTTTGCTGTAAATGAGCAATTGCACTTAAAATTATCGGAAAATGCATAAATTTCTCTTTCATCCGCATGCTTTTCGGCGAGTATTTTTTTTTTTCTTCCTGCTCCTTACATTTCCTGCCATATGTGTGAGTATGCGAAAAATGTGAAAAAGGCCACAAATATCGCGTTAACTCATAAAATCTTTAACTCAAAAGCGGACTCCTGGCGCCCTCCTCTATCCTCAAACATTCACATTAGATTCGCTCAAACACATAAATTCTCTAAATGTTGGGATTCGACACATATCGTTATCCATCAAAAAAACTGAAATGAAACTACAGCAGAAGGCGCTAAAAATGCGCACCCGAATACGCTATAGCGAAGAGAGGAAAAGGAAGCACGCAAGCTGATCGTTCCTCAGCGATCAGATTTCAAAAACTGGATTTTTAAGGTTTTTAGCACTCTTCCACATGCTTCAGGAAGTTTCATTAGCAGATCGAAGGGCCTAGCATAGCTGCGTTGCGAAGTGTGGAAGTATCCCATTAACATCACTAAAACGAGATAATGATACTGTTAGACCGAGCGATTTTAGGTAATTTCGGATTCTTTAGCAAGAATTTTTCGGAAAAAGAAATAAAGCCATATATGCTATGGAAATAAAAAAATTGATTCCAGAGAGTTGTAAGAATGCACAGAAAGCGATGTAAGATGGGGAACTAGCAGGAGCAGTGCCCGAAACAGTTTTCTTGTTCTAAAACATAAGATAATGATCAGCACTCAAACAAGGTCGAATTTTTGCATTATTTCTATCGAAAAAAATTCGCTCAATTTTATTATTAAAAGCTTTCGATAATTGATTTTTTCAGGGTACTGCTTTCAGGATGATATCATCACCTGCATAGTTTTAGAATAGTTTTGCGTGGACGATAGCAGCATTGCCCTTCTCTCACTACCAGACGTCACCTACCTCCTCTTTTTATATTGGAAACAAGATTTAGTTTTGAACAATCTGAATTTTTTCTTATCGTTCCGATAAAGAATTTCGCGCCAATGAAAAATGATAATGTAGAAGCTCTTTATTACTTTCTGTTTCATGACCTCTGCCATACCCTTATCTTTCCTACACTCCCAAACCCAGCACACATGCTTCGTATGCTTAACAGCACCAATGCTGCGTTTAAAGAATCTAGTGAAGGTTTCAAAAAGCTTTGTGAAATTCTGCCTGAATTGCTATACGGAGTAAGCGCAAAATAAAGAAGAGTGGAGTAGTTGCCAAATGTAATAATGATGGCAAGAACTAATGCAATGATAAAACAGCACATGATCAAAGTACCAAAATACGCTCTGAAGGCATAAAAAATACTTGTAGTATGAAGTGATGAAGTATGAATATAATAAACATTTTTGCCCAGAAATACCCGACTCCCTTCGCTTTTCGTTTTTTGCAACCTCCCCCCTTCGCCTCTCCCCTCCCTCGTCTCCCTCTCCTCTCTCCTCCCCCTCCTGCCATGTACATATATTTCATGTTTTTCTAAAGACGAAGTTAAATGAGACTTAAATACGAAAATGAGCAAGACAGGTTAGTGAGTCCACCAATTCGAAAATTTCGAATCGGCACTGGATCAATTGCCACTACAAAAAAAACAAGTTATGAGAAGCTTGTATGGCGATAGAAAGAGTGAACTTCCATACTTCGTACCTCTCATCAAGCAGTTGGCTATTCACTGTATTATACTTAATTTCTTGCGTAATAATTGTGACAAAAAATACAAGATATTTTTGATACCAAGAACAAAAAGACCGCCGAGCGTCGGTGTGGGCATAAGATGCTAGTGATTTTATTATGCGTTTTGTGCTGTGTAACAGCAGTACAAAACGCATATTGTTACGGGGTTGTCT